TCTGGGGGTGGTTCAGGGGGTTCTGGGGGGCTCTGGGGGTTCTGGGTGGTTCCGGGGGGCTCTGTGGGTTTTGGGGGGCTCGGGGGGCACCCACCTCGGGCCCGAAGCGGCGCCGGGCGAAGGCGTGGGCGCTCTCGTCAGGGCCCGTCCCCCGCGGGGTCAGCAGATCCCGCAGAGCGCTCCAGAGCAGGGCCCGCGGGAACGGGGGCACGGCACGCAGCACCGGCCTGGGGACACAGGGACACAGGGTGACATTGGGGACAGGGACACAGGGTGGCACTGGGAACGGGGGCACGGCACGCAGCACCGGCCTGGGGACAGGGACAGTGACAGAGACACACTGGGAACGGGGGCACGGCACGCAGCACCGGCCTGGGGACACAGGGTGACACAGGGGACAGGGACAGCAGGGTGGCACTGGGAACGGGGGCACGGCACGCAGCACCGGCCTGGGGACACAGGGTGACACAGGGGACAGGGACAGCAGGGTGGCACTGGGAACGGGGGCACGGCACGCAGCACCGGCCTGGGGACAGGGACAGGGACAGTGACAGAGACACACTGGGAACGGGGGCATGGCACGCAGCACCAGCCTGGGGACACAGGGTGACACCGGGGACAGGGACAGCGGGGTGACACCAGGGACAGGGGGAATGGCACTGGGGACATGGCATTGGGGACACAAGGGACAGGGAGGTGACACCAGGGACAGGGGGAATGGCACTGGGGACATGGCATTGGGGACACAAGGGACAGGGAGGTGACACCAGGGACAGGGGGCATGGACAGAAGCAAACCCCTGGGGACAGCAGGGACACACAGGGCTGGCACTGGGGACAGCCCAGAGCAGGCCCCTGGGGACAGCAGGGACAGAAGAGGTGGCATTGGGGACAGGGGGAACACGGCCCAGAGCAGCCCCTGGGGACACCGTGGGGTCAGGGGGTGACACTGGGGACAGGAGGTGGCACTGGGGACAAAGGACAGGGGACACAGCCCAGAACAGCCCCTGGGGATGCTGCACAGTGAAAAGGTGGCTCTGGTGACAGGGGGAGGTGGCCCTGGTGACAGGGGGAGGTGGCCCAGGGGCCAGGGGACACAGGGGACACAGGGGACACGCACCGCAGCCCCGAGGGCAGGGGGTGCAGGGCCCCCCCCAGGTACAGGAAGCGGTTCTGTGCCGCCGGGTGGTCCCTGGGGACAGCCAGGATGTCACCGGCCAGCCCCAGCTCCGACACCTGCGGGGACCACGGGACCCCAAGTTCACCCAGGGACCCCAAAATTCACCCAGAGACCCCCAGGATTCACCCAGGGACCCCAAAAATTCTGCCAGAATCCCCTTCCAAACCCCAGGGACCCCTCTGTCACCCCAAACCCAGCCCCAGGGACTTCTCCAAACCCACCCCAGCTCCCCAAAAACCAGCCCAGGACCCCCAACATCCACCCAGGGACCTCCTAAAACCCAGGAACCCCTCTGTCACCCCAAATCCAGCCCCAGGGACCCCCCCAGCCCCCCACAGGACCTCTCTGTCACCCCAAACCGTCCCTGGGGACCCCCAAACCCCCCCCTCAGCACCTCAGGGCCCCCCCCATCCCCCCAACCCAGCCACAAGGACTCCCAGCATCCACCCAGGGACTCCTCTGACACCCCACACCAGCCCTGGGAACACCCCCAGACCCCCTGGGACCCCCCTGTCACCCCAAATCCAGCCCCCAGCCCCCGTACCATGCGCAGGGTCTCGGCCCCCGCGGGCCCCGCGGGCCGGACGCCCCTCGGGCCGTGCTCGAACACGGCGCCCTCGGGGGTCCGCGTGCTCTGCAGCCACCCCCCGAACCGGCCGCTGGCCTCCAGCAGCACCACCTGCGGACCCCCAGAGCCCCGGGCACGACCGGGACCCCCGGTCACACCGGGATCAGCACCGGGACCCCCGGTCACACCGGGATCAGCACCGGGACCCCCGGGTCAGCACCGGGATCAACCCCGGGACCCCCGGGACCCCCGGATCAGCACCGGGATCAACCCCGGGACCCCAAATCACCCCCGGGACCCCCGAATCAACACCGGGACCCTCCAATCAGTACCGGGACTCCGATCAACCCGAGACCCCAAATCACCCCCGGGACCCCCCAATCACCGCCGGGACCCCCGGGCACCACCGGAACCCCAAATCATCACGGGGACCCCAAATCACCACGGAGACCCCAAATCAACACCGGGACCCCCCGAGTCACCCCCGGGACCCCGCGGGAATTGGGGTCCCGGGGGAATTGGGGGTCCCGGGGGTCTCTGCAGGATGGACTGGGGAGGGCCCGGGGGTCCCGAGATGGATTGGGGAGGGTCCGGGGGTCCCTTGGGGAGGGCCCGGGGGTCGCACGCTCACCTTGGGCGGGCGGGGGGCGCGCAGCAGGTGGTAGCAGGCGGCCAGGCCGCTGATGCCGCCGCCAACGACGGCCACGGTGGGCGGCATGAGGGCGGCTGGGGCGGGCAGGGTCAGCGGGGCCGCCCGGAGCCCCCAGACCCGCCCGGGCCGGGACCCCCCCTCAGCCGGGACCCTTCCTCAGCAGCGCCGCGCCGGCCACGCCCCTGCCCGCCCTCAGCGCGGCGAGGGGCGGGGCCAGCGGCGGGCGGGCCAATGGCAAGGCGCAGCGCGTTGATGGACAGCGCGCTGCGGCGGCAGCGAGCGCGCCGTGGTGATAAGCCCCGCCTACTGCGCCGCCAGCCAATCATCAGGCACGCCGTGCACACACGGCCACGCCCGTCTCTAATCAATCAACAGCACGCCCCGCCCATGCAGGCAAACCACGCCCACTCGACAGTTATCAACTCCAAACCCCGCCCCCTCCCCAAGGCCACGCCCCCTTCCCAGCCCCGAAACTCGGCGGTTTTTGGGGTTTTTTTAATAAATTTATTCACAAAACCCCCCGGGGCCGCGCGGGCTGCGGCCGCTCCCTCCGCACCGCCCTCTCCGGGGGGCTCCGGGGGCGGTCCCGGGGGGTTCCCGGGGGGCTCCGGGGGTTCCCGGGGGGCTCCGGGGGTTCCCGGGGCGCTCCCCCGCAGCCCGGCCCGCAGGCGGCTCCGGGCGCGGCTCTCAGGCCCTGCGGCCGGGCGGCTCCTCCAGCTCGTAGAACAGCACGTAGCCCTCGCTGGACGGCACCTGGTTCTCGCTGATGGGCGAGACGCTGCGGGGACACCCTCAGCACCGGCCGCGGGCGGCTCGGGGGGTGCCCCGGAGGGGCTCGGGGGGCTCGGGCGGGGCGGGGGGCACTGACCGGGAGTCGTTGTAGACGCGCCAGCCGGCCGGGTCGCGGCAGAAGGCCGTGTAGTGCCCGTAGTGCACGCTGCCCGAGTGGTTGCACAGCGCGTACAGGCTGTAGACAGGGCTGCCTGCAGCGGGGAGCGGGTCAGGGTTAGGATCCCCCACCCCAAGTCAGGGGGGGGATTTAGGGAGGTTTGAGGGGTTTTTGGGGAAGGCTAAAGGGTTTTTGGGGGTACGTGAGAGGTTTTGGGGGGACTGGAAGGGTTTTTGAGGGAGGTCTGAGGGGTTTATGGAGGAGTCTGAAGGGTTTTTTTGGGGTCTGATGCCTGCAGCGGGGAGGGGGTCAGGGTTAGGATCCCCCACCCCAAAAGGCGGAGACCCCCACCCCAAAAGCCCCCCCAGGAGCTCTCCTCACCCGCCTTCTCGCTGGCGAACTCCCGCAGGTTGAGCTGCTGCAGGGGGAAGTCCACGAAGACCGAGCATTTCTTGATGGAGTAGCGCGTGGTGGAGAACCGGTTCAGGTCTGCCGAGGGTTAAGGAGGGGGGAAAATAGAGGGGTGACCCCCTGTGCCCCCCACCTCCCCCCAAAAAGCTTGGGGGCGCTGGTCCCCAAAGGATACGGAGCACCAGGATGCGTGGGAAGCGCTGGATCGTCAGCTTCTTGGTGCTGCGCGTGCGCTGCCGGCACTTGTCACACACCTGAGGGGCAGGGGGTCTGAGGGGTTTATGGAGGAGTCTGAAGGGTTTTTTTGGGGTCTGAAGGGTTTTTTTGGGGGGTCTGAAGGATTTTTGGGGGGATCTTAAAGGTTTTTGGGAGATCTGAAGGGTTTTGGGGGGTCTGAGGGGTTTTTGCGGGGATCTGAAGCATTTTTTGGAGGGTCTAAAGGGTTTTGGGGGGGTCCGAAGGGTTTTCGGTGGGGTCTGAGGGTTTTTTGGGGGGGATTTGAAGCATTTTGGGGGTGTCTGAAGCATTTTTAGGGGAGTCTTAAGGGTTTTTGGAGGGGTCTGAAGGGTTTTTTGGGGGAGTCTTAAGGGTTTTTTGGGGGTCTGAAGGGTTTTTTGGGGGCTCTGAAGGGTTTTTTGGGGGCTCTGAAGGGTTTTTTGGGGGCTCTGAAGGGTTTTTTGGGGGCTCTGAAGGGTTTTTTGGGGGCTCTGAAGGGTTTTTTGGGGGCTCTGAAGGGTTTTTTGGGGGCTCTGAAGGGTTTTTTGGGGGCTCTGAAGGGTTTTTTGGGGGCTCTGAAGGGTTTTTTGGGGGCTCTGAAGGGTTTTTTGGGGGCTCTGAAGGGTTTTTTGGGGGCTCTGAAGGGTTTTTTGGGGGCTCTGAAGGGTTTTTTGGGGGTCTGAAGGGTTTTTTGGGGGGCATGAAGGGTTTTTTGGGGGAGTCTTAAGGGTTTTTTGGGGGTCTGAAGGGTTTTTTGGGGGACATGAAGGGTTTTTGGGGGTCGCCCCACCCCTACCTTTGGGATGGGCAGCGAGAGGTCGCAGAACACCTCGAAGGTGGTGGAGCGGTAGCCGCAGGCCTGGCACTTGAGGCAGCTCTTCAGCTGCCCCACAAAGAGATCTGGGGGGCAAAGGGGGGGGTCAGGGGGGCACCCCCAGAGGTTTTGGGGTCCGGGGGAGGGGGGGGCGCACCCCCACTGCCAGCGCTCACCCACGATCTTGCTGTCCTCCCTCTCCAGGTAGCGCTTCCACATCTGGTTGGCGCGCTCGTCGTCGCTGCGTGGGGGGACACCGGGGTGACACACAGCTGTCCCCAAAAGCGGGGCTCCCCCTCCCCAGCAGCCCCTCCCCTCTCTCACCTGAGCGTTTCGGGGTCCTCCAGGGCCGGGGGTCTCCGTGTGTCCGACAGGATGCTGGGGGTGCGCCGGCCCTTCCTGTTGATCTCCACGTGCAGCCGGTCCATGAAGAACTTGAGGAATTCCTGCGCGTCCTGCTGGCTGCGGGGACGGGGACGCTTTGTGCCCGCCCGGGAGGGGTCCCCGGGGGTGTCCCCAAAGGTTTTGGGGGGGCGTCTCACCTGTAACCCGTGAAGGAGGGCACGTATTTTTGGAACACGGCCTTGAAGCGCCCGGGGTTGACGGCCTCGGAGGAGTCGGGGTGCCAGAGGGCGGCGATGACATCGGCGAAGGCTGCGGGGACACGGCGGGGTCAGCGCCCCCGGGGGGGGTTATGTAACGCTCTCGGGGGGCTGCGGGAGTTTTGGGGGGCCTGCCCCACCTTCGGTGAGCTCCTGGGGGGCGCGGGGGCCGGGGGGCTGCTCCTGCTGGAAGTCGCGGCGCAGGCAGTAGTCCCGCAGCGGTTTGGTGCTGCTCAGGCACTGCAGCACCGCGTTCATGAAGCACTGCGGGGGGACACGGGGACAGCCCGGCGTGGGCCACCTCAGCACGGGGCCCTCGGCGTGTCCCCTCTGCTGCCCCAGTGCCCCGCGGGTCTGGGGGTACCCGGGGGTGTGATGTCCCCAGTGGGATGGGACCGTGGTGGGACAGCCACAAAGAGGCTCGGGGACACTGAGGTGACCCCCGGGTGACAGCGAGGGACCCTTCAAGCCCTCCCACAGCCCAGGGCAGGAGGGTTGGGGACCTTGGGGACAGCACTGTGGGGCTGGGGGACATCCCCAGCAGGATGAGACCAGGGCCACCGAGCCTGGGAGACCCTGAGGGGACCCCGAGGTGACCCCAAATCCCTCCTGCACCCCAGGACAGAGGGACAGAAGGGTTGGGGACCTTGGGGACAGTGCTGTGGGGCTGGGGGAGCTCTGGGAATGTGACCTCCCAGCTGGACAGGACCATGACCACCGAGCATGGGTGACCCTGAGGTGACCCCAGATCCCTCCTGCACCCCAGGACAGAGGAACAGGAGGGTCGGGGACCCCGAGGTGACCCCAAATCCCTCCTGCACCCCAGGACAGGAGGGTTGGGGATAATGGGGACAGCTCTGTGGGGCTGGGGGAGCTCAAGGAATGTTACATCTCAGCAGGACAGGACCAAGGCCACCGAGCATGGGTGACCCTGAGGTGATGTCGAGGTGACCCCAAATCCCTCCCACACCCCAGGACAGAGGAACAGGAGGGTCGGGGACCCCGAGGTGACCCCAAATCCCTCCCGCCCCCCAGGACAGAGGAACAGGAGGGTCGGGGACCCCGAGGTGACCCCAAATCCCTCCCGCACCCCAGGATCTGTGGGGCTGGGGGAGCTCAAGGAATGTTACATCTCAGCAGGACAGGACCAAGGCCACCGAGCATGGGTGACCCTGAGGTGAAGTCGAGGTGACCCCAAATCCCTCCCACACCCCAGGACAGAGGAACAGGAGGGTCGGGGACCCCGAGGTGACCCCAAATCCCTCCCGCACCCCAGGACAGAGGAACAGGAGGGTCGGGGACCCCGAGGTGACCCCAAATCCCTCCCGCACCCCAGGACAGAGGGACAGGAGGGTCGGGGACCCCAATAGGACCCCAAATCCCTCCTGCACCCCAGTACAGCTCCCCGGGAGGGGCGGGGTGCTGCTTACCGTGTTGCCCAGATTCCTGAGGCCGACGTGGCCCGAGCCCAGCAGCAGCGCGTGGTGGGTCTGGGGGGACAGCGGGGGACACGCGGTGAGCCGCGCCCCGGCCGCGCCGTCCCCCCGGGCGTCCCCCGGCGGCGCCGGCTTCACCTCGCCGCTGACCAGCAGCAGCCCCATGACCGCCGTGTGCACCACGGACTCGGAGATGTCGGTGGCCCGGCCCTGCAGCTCCCGCCGGGTCACCAGCGAGCGCTGCAGCTTCCGCGGCAGCTCCACCAGCGTGGCGCCCTGCAGCCCCGGCATGCTGGCACCGCCGCGGTGGCACCGCCGCGGTGGCACCGGCTCGGTGGCACCGGTGGCACCGCTGCCGGCCACCGGAGCGTCCCCTCCCCCTCAGCTCATTAGCTGATCCGATTCCCCCGGCTATTCTGGGCCGCGCGAGGCTCATCCCGGGGGATTAATTAGCCGGAGCTGCCCCTGGGGACAGCGAGAGCCCGCAGGGGTGCCGAGGTAAACACCCCCCAAAAATCCCTGCCCGCTTTCCACCGAGGGGTTCCGGGGGTCCCGAGGGGCTGCGGGACCCCCCCAGGCAGCGCCGGGGACACCCCGAGGGGGGACAAGGCGGGGTGGCCGCGCCCCGGGGGCACTGAGGGGATTACGATCCCCCCACACGTGGCCGGGCAGGTGAGGGATGGGGCGGGGGGGCGGATGCGGAAACGGGGAGGGGGCAGCGGCCACCCCCGGCCACCCCAGTGCCACCAGGGTGCCACCCTGGAGCCGTGGGGACAGAACCCAGAGGCACAAGGATGGCACCGGCCACCCGCAGCCGTGGGGGTCTCAAAGTGTCCCCAAAGCTGGGGACACTGAGGGATTCTCAAAATGTCCCCAAATCTGGGGACACTGTAGGGGGTGCAAAATGTCCCCAAAGCTGGGGACAGTGTGGGGGGCTCAAAGTGTCACCAAGGCTGGGGACACTGAGGGGGTCTCAAAGTGTCCCCAAAGCTGGGGACACTGTGGGATTCTCAAAATGTCCCCAAAGCTGGGGACACTGTGGGATTCTCAAAGTGTCCCTAAGACTGGGGACACTGCGGGGGTCTCAAAGTGTCCCCAAACCTGGGGGAAATGCAGGGGTCTCAAAATGTCCCCAAAACTGGGGACACTGTGGGATTCTCAAAATGTCCCCAAGGCTGGGGACACTGAGGGATTCTCAAAGTGTCCCCAAAACTGGGGAAAATGCAAGGGTCTCAAAGTGTCCCGAAAGCTGGGGACAGTGTGGGGGGCTCAAAGTATCCCCAAGGCTTGGGGACACTGAGGGGGTCTCAAAGTGTCCCCAAAGCTGGGGACAGTGTAGGGGGCTCAAAGTGTCCCCGAGGCTGGGGACACCGGGGGGTCTCACACATCCCCAAGGCTGGGGACACACGCCACATCCCCTCCCTCCCTCCCTGCCGCCCTCCCGGGCTCTTACGGCGGCCGCCTTGTCCTCGGTCCGGCCGGGCGCGGGGCTGCCGGGGCCGAAGGCGGGGTCGGAGCGGGCGCGGGGGCCGCCCTCGGGGCGCACGGACAGCAGCGGCGGCGTGCCCTTGCCGTCGGGCCCGGCGGCCACGGTGACCCTGCGCAGCGACGAGCTCCTCCGCAGCGCCAGCGCGCCCGCGCCCAGCGGGTGCCCGCAGTCCCTGAGCACCAGCCGGCTCAGCGCCACCGCCACGTCCTCGGCGCGGCTGGGCACACCGGCGACGCCGCCGCCGCCGCCTCCCTGGCTCAGGTCGCCGATGCTGATGGATTTGGAGCGGGCCAGGTTGCTCCGGCGGCGCTCGGCCGCGCTGGGCAGCGAGAAGGAGGCGCTGCCGGGCACCTGCGGGGCTCCCCCGGGCACCCTCACGCCGTGATCGGCCTTGAGCGGCCCCCGGCGCCCGCCCGGCCCGCGGGGAGCGGGGTCCCCCCGTTTGGCCGCCCGGCCCCGCTCCAGCTCCAGCTTCTTGGGGCGGGGGTCGTCGGGGGGC